GGGTTTTCTTCCTCCCCTCCCATCTCTAAGACTAGTTGTCCGTTTATCCCAGTGGAGCGGGACAGACAAAACCTACCCTGAGTTACAGGAAACAAAATAGTAATCGTTATAAAGGGAGTGACCAGGAGCAACTGAGGTTTTCCTTTGTCTCCCACATCCAGTGCATGTGTTTCACAGAAAAACAACAACAACAAATGCACAAAACACAACCACTAGAATTGCAAAACCCATTCATCCAAGAGTGGTAGAAGGCAGGAAGGAGAGGTGGGAGGGCCAGAGGCACAGGGAGGAAATGAAATATTCCAGTCAGTCCAGATCCAGGGGCTGGCGAATGCTAGAAAACAGCTGCAGAGGAACCTGGGGTCCTTTCAGACTCATGGAGGTATTAACAATCCACGCACTTGTGTTAAGAAGATTCTGCCTTACGTGCTCCAGAGGCAGACAATCCAGTTCCTCAGAGAGAAGGGGACGTGCAGAGGGCCCTTGGGAAAATGGTGTGTGTTTCCATCTTGACTTAATGAAGAATCGGGCGGGATCTTGGCGAGTTCATCTTTTCTCTTATTTCTGTCCTTTCTGTAGATATGCATGTGGTTGGGCCACAGAAGTCTGACTCCTGTTAGTGGCGGGTTTACCTCGCCTGTGCTGTGTTTTTGGGGAATTGAGTTTTACTGAGAGATTGCCTCCTGGAAATCTTTCCAAAGTATGTGTCTTTCAGGGTGGTATTTGGCTTAAAGCCCACTGAAAGCTTCTTGTGTAAACTCTGACACTCTTGAGATATTTTAGAACATTCTCAGTCTGATTAACTTTGTGGCTTCTCCAACCATTTTTCTTCACCCATAAAATGTAGGCTGCAGCCACGCGGGACTAGCCTCCAGGTGTAAACAGGAAATGATCAAACATCCATGACAAGTTTCTCCCCACCCCACCTTCTTCCAAGTAGTCAGGTGCGACCAGTGGCTGTAATCAGTTTCCCCTGAAGGACTCAGACTATCTGTCCCAGAGAGGTCCCAGGCAGCTCTTTTGTCTTTAATGAATTCCTCCTGGATCTGGACTCCTCCAGGATGCAAGTCCCCTTAGGCCTAAGATGAGTGGAACGAGAGATGTAAGAGGATGGTGCAGACATTGGTGGTGACCACAGAGGCTGTCACATCACATGCCCATAATGAATAAAGTAGAGTAGAATTATGGATCAGGCCCTGGAGTCCCCCTCAAACAGCCTGGGTAAGTTGGGCAGGAGGGGGAATGGGCCTTAGTGTCCATCCAACCTGTGGGTTTTGGTTTTCCGAGTTGTATGATCTGCTGGATAGTTCTTTAGATATGATTAGCTTTCCTCTGCTCCACTTCTCTGACTGCCAAGACTTCCCAGCAATCTGGAAGTATTTTGACTAAGGTCGGCCAGTTACACTGTTTTAGAGAGATCATCCTACGTAAAACTTCCTGTGCAATGTGTTCTTACAGGATTGCATCATTTCAGTGCAACGATGGTTCTGTGAGGTAGGCTTCAATGCAGTAGCTATTAAGTCTTGTTTTATTTAAAAATAATCTATAGTTTTAAGAAACATTGAACAGACTTCCATTCAGAAATTGTAGTTAAACTGCTCTGGGGAAAACCCAGTATTGTAATTTAAAGGCAGTGTATGACCTTACTCCTCAAGTGCAGTCCATGGACCGCAGCATTGCCATCATCTGGGTCATCACTTAAAATCTGCAATCGGCTCACTAGGCTAATCCTCCGCCTAGCGGCGCCGGCACACCGGGTTCTAGTCCCGGTCGGGGCGCCGGATTCTGTCTTGGTTGCCCCTCTTCCAGGCCAGCTCTCTGCTGTGGCCAGGGAGTGCAGTGGAGGATGGCCCAGGTGCTTGGACCCTGCACCCCATGGGAGACCAGGAAAAGTACCTGGCTCCTGGCTCCTGCCATCGGATCAGCGCGGTGCACCGGCCGCGGTGCGCCAGTCGCGGCGGCCATTGGAGGGTGAACCAACGGCAAAGGAAGACCTTTCTGTCTCTCTCTCTCACTGTCCACTCTGCCTGTCAAAAAAAAATAAAAATAAAAAAAATCTGCAATCTGAACTAGAGAATGAGAATCAGCATTGTTACAGAATGCCTGGCAGGTTTTCACAGACATTACACATTAGAAGTTCTATCCTAGGTTATTCTTTTGTCCAGTGTAGGAGAGGAAGGTAGTGAAGCTAATTTCACCATCAGTGGTAGCACCTGCAAGGGATATCTCTGGTCTGTGATTCCTAGTTAGACTTTTGACACCAGGTTGGGTCTGACTACTTTACTCAGTTACTTTTGAGAAAACTGGTGAATGATTTCCCCTAATGTTTCTTCCCAGTGTAATTCCATAACATAATGTCCAACTGTAAAACTGTTAGTGCAGCTTAAGGACTGTCAGGAGGATGAAGATCCCAGCAGGTGAGCCCAGTTACATATTTTCATTGAAGGATATTCCAACATCTCTTAATGCTCCTCCTCTGATTTCTCAGTCAGCTTTGATACAAAAAGGGCAGTATTTAAGTCAGCATTCTCCAGAAGTCAGAACCATATCATATAGATGGGTGATTGATAGATAGATAGAGATAGGTAGGTAGATAGATAATAGACGATAGAACAAGAGCAAGTGGGGGAGATTTGTGCACAGGAATTCTATCTCATGCAGTTGTTGGAACTGCAAAGTCTAGAATATGCAGGGCAGGTCAGGAGGCTGGAAATCCAGGGAAAAGTTGATGTTACAGCCTTAGTCTTGCATCCAAAGGCAGTCTGGAGGCAGAATTCTTTGTTCTTCAAGGGACCTCTGCTTTTTCTCCTTAGGCTTTCAACATATTCTATGAGGTTCACCACATTATGTATGCTAATATGCTTTACTCAGTCTGCTCATTTAAATGTTTATCATGTTTCAAAATACCTTCATAGTAACATCTGGACTGGTATTTGTCTAAAACAAGGTACAAGGACCTACCCATATTGATACATTAAATTAACCATTACAGTGGGCTTTGGACATCTTAGATAGAACTCAGTTTAGAGCTTGAGTAGAAATGATCATTTATCTTTCTGTTTCTCCAATAATTTCTAAAATTACCATATTTATTTTAAAAACTATTTACTTATTTCAAAGGCAAAGTCTCTCTCTCTCTCTCAAACATTATTATCTATTATCAGAGAGAGAGAGAGAGAGAGAGAGAGAGAGAGATTTTATATATGCTGGTTCACTCCCTAAATGGCCACAGCAGCCAGATCTGGGTCAGGTCAAAGCCAGGAGCCAAGAACTCCATGTGGCATTACCATGTGGGCGGCAGGGGCCCAAGCACTTGGGTCATCTCCTGTTGCCTTCCAAGGCACAGTAGCAGGAGCTGTATCGAAGCAGAGCAGCTGGGACTTGGACTGATGCTCCCATTTGGGATGCTGAAGTCCCAGGCAGTGACTTAACTCACTGCACCACAATGCCGAGCCCACAATTGTATTTGTTTTTTCCCACGCCAATGCCAATGATGTGTGCAGATAGAAACATTAGGATGCTTAGAATGAGTCATCTGTATTAGTGAAATGAATGGTATAACTGAGGTACCCTCATGTTTTCTGTGGGTACAAAATTACATCTACCTAGTAATAGTCTAAATTTAGCCCCATATGGTTAATTCTGGTTTTAGTTCTGGAGGATTTAGTAGGACTATTAATTCTAACTTTAATGAGAGTTTGTAGCCTTTGAAGACTGAGGAATGCATAAGTATGTCTCAACTTGAAGGAAAACAATATAAGTAAGTAATGAAACATAGGTCCTATCTGGGTACCATGCCAGCTGCCAGCTCTACTGCAGGCATGGCCTCCCTACACGGAGCTTGCAGTCTGGTGGGGAAGTCAGATTAAACTAGTGATTTAGGACATGAGTGCTATGGGATGAGTACTGGGAACAGTGGTAACGTAGGAGCAAATCTTAACAGGTCTGGTGAGACACCAAAGGTTTAGCTGAGCAAATGACATCTATACAGAAGAATAAGTGGGAGTAAATCAGGTAGAAAGGGAGCAGAGGGAATAGATGCTAGTTAGGAGGAACAGCAGGTGCAAAATGCTGGAGGCAAGAAATGATCATTTTTAAGTCCATCACTGCTGGAGAGTGGGGTCAGATGATAGTGTGGAGGTCGGCAAGAGTCAGGTCCTAGAGCACCACTCCTGCCCGTGAAAGGAATTTTGCCGTTATCTTAAGAGCAATGAGAATCCTCTGAAATACTTAGTCAGGAGAAAGATGTAAGAACACCACAATGGGAGAAAAAGATTGTTGAAGGAGAAAAGCCCTGAAGCAGAGAAACAGGGAGATGAATTGAGCAGCTGTTTTAACCATCCATTTCAGTTAAGATGTCGGCCTGGCCTAGGATCGTGTGTTTGGATACAGAGTGGATGATCAGAGAGCTAAGTGTAGAATCTATAGGCTATGTTAGATTGGAGTTGATGATGAGAGGAGAAATGAATGAAATAAAACTCACAGAGCTTTGATTTGATACTGGATTCCTTTCACTGATTGTGAGAATGGAGAAGGAGAAGTTTGGGAGAGGGACTAGGTGAGACTCGAGTTTCATTTGGGATCTGTTGAGCTTAAGATGTCTGTGATCCCTCCACAGGAAGATAATCATGGAGCGGTGGGATACAGAGTTCTGTGGGTTAGATAGATATCTACACTAGTGTTTAAATGGTAAGCTAATACAAGTGGAGGGCATGGTTCTGCTTGTAGGTATACATAAAGTTGTAAGAAAATTATATTTAGAAAACCTTGAGGAAAATTAACAGGTAAGAAACAGACAGAGTAGGAGCCAATCATAGTTTTTGAGTGGTCAGAAAGTAAACTAATAAATTTGTGTCTCAGGAACTAATAGATAATAATGTTTGAGAAATAAAGGAGTACTGTAACATGTAAAAAGAAATGAAGAAATAAGGCATTTATGGCTATGGATTGTAATTGCCTACATCAAGAGTAAAGACATCGTTATTGTGATGTGAGTGAAAGGAAGTATTTTGACAGAACATTTAATAAATAATGTATCATAGAAATATGTTGATTTTTAAATTCAAGCTTTAGGGGACACTGTTATTTCTTCCTAAAGGTACTAGCCACACAACATGACAGGAAAGAACCAAACCACTGTGTCAGAGTTCCTCCTCCTGGGCCTGCCCATCCAGCCACAGCACAAAAACCTCTTCTACGTCCTGTTCCTGGCCATGTACCTGACCACAGTCATAGGGAACCTCCTCATCATCATCCTCATTCGACTGGACTCCCGTCTCCACACGCCCATGTATTTGTTTCTCAGCAACTTGTCCCTCTCTGACCTCTGCTTCTCCTCTGTCACAATGCCCAAATTGCTGCAGATCATGCAGAGCCAAGTCCCATCCATCCCCTATGAAGGATGCCTGGCCCAAATGTACTTCTTCCTGTTTTTTGGAGACCTGGAGAGCTTCCTCCTTGTGGCCATGGCCTACGACCGCTATGTGGCCATCTGTTTCCCCCTGCACTACACCAGCATCATGAGCCCCAAGCTCTGCTTCTGCCTGGCGGCACTGTCCTGGGTGCTGACCACATTCCATGCCCTGCTGCACACCCTGCTCATGGCCAGACTGTCTTTCTGTGCAGATAATGTAATCTCACACTTTTTCTGTGATATGTCTGCTCTTCTGAAGTTGGCCTGCTCTGATACCCATGTCAATGCATTGGTGATATTTGTCACGGGAAGCATCATTCTCGTCATCCCTTTCCTACTCATTATCACATCCTATGCAAGGATTGTGTCTTCCATCATCAAGGTTCCTTCTGCACGGGGCATCCGTAAGGCCTTCTCCACCTGTGGCTCCCACCTGTCTGTGGTGTCGTTGTTCTATGGGACAGTTATTGGTCTCTACCTAATCCCGTCAGCCAATAATTCTACTGTGAAAGAGATTGTCATGGCTATGATGTACACTGTGGTGACTCCCATGCTGAACCCCTTCATCTACAGCCTGAGGAACCAAGACATAAAGGGAGCCCTGGGAAGAATTAACTGTGGAAAGAAGACTCTCTTCTCTCTAGGATGTTAGTACCTTAAATATGTACATAATTTTATACTGTATATTATTGATATTAATATTGGAACAGTATCCCAGATACTTTCATCACTTTGTAGACCTCTATTAAAATGGCATATTATGCAAATGTTCCAAATACAAAAGGGATGATGTGTTGGTGACTTGTTGAATTAGGAAGAGACTTATTTCACTCAGCATGATGTGTTCCAGATTCCTCCATTTTGTTGCAAATGACTGGATTCCATTTTTTTTTTACTGCTGTATAGTATTCTATAGAGTACATGTCTCGTAATTTCTTTATCTAGTCTACTGTTGATGGGCATTTGGGTTGATTCCAGGTGTTAGCTATTGTGAATTGAGCTGCAATAAACATTAAGGTGCAGACAGCTTTTATGTTTGCCAGTTTTATTTCCTTTGGGTAAATTCCAAGGAGTGGGATGGCTGGGTTGTATGGTAGGGGAAGAAGGTATTGGTGGGTTGGCTAATACCTTTCTCTTTGTCCTCCTGAGATGACCTTGAAAAAATATAAAGAACTATTATTTCAAATCTTCTTTTGCCTAACACTGTCAAATTTATCACAGGTTTTGATCATACCATCCACAACTCTGACTTAATTGTGGTATCATTTTGAAATAGTGTTCTGTATCCTTAGATCAATACCAAGTTGCAAAATCTTAACCTCTGAGCCTCCCTATGAATGTCTCCCACATATCCTCCCCTGTAGAAAATTTCATATTATTTCTCTGTTTGTATTTTAACCTTGTGTACAATGTTTGTTAAATTGTATTTATTACAATGAAATTTATAGCTAAACAGTGCAAAACTGAAGAGAAGTGAATTGGAATAAAGTAGAATGGTGCAGAACCAGTCCAGCTGGCTCCTGCCCCTGGCCATCCATAGATTCATTCTCCATGAAACATCTATAAGAAATCTTTCTAAGAAGGTAAATTTGATTGTCTGCTCTGCCTAAAATATGTCAGTGATTTCCCATTGTCCTTTTGTAAAATACAATGGCTTCCATGGCTTTTTAAGACAAGACTGCCTGCCCCTCAAGCTTTATTGCCTTATCTCTTACCCCTGCTCCACTCCAACCTGTCCCCATATTTTGCCTTCTTCCAACACAAACCCCTCAACTTCCCAGCCACTTGCTAATGGACTCCAAGTTCTCTCTCATCTTTGGGGTTTTCCATATTACATTTCTTCACTCTGAATATTTTTATTTACATTTCTTGTAAAACTCTTCATATTCTACATAAACCCTGTTAATGAAAAATAAAAGATGTCTTCCATGGCCTGCTGCACAAAGCTAATTGTCCTTGATACATGCTCTCACTGATCCTGTGTTTCTCCTATGACATGATTTGTGATACTTACTGGTAGCTTATTTAGTCGTCATTTTTGCCAGCTGGACTATAAGCTCCTAAGTCCAGAGATCAGGTCTACTTTGGCTGCTGTTTTCCCCATAGCACATGACTTGGCTCCTTGCATGTTGTAGTTTCGCCTTCAATATTTCTCTATGAACCAGTGAACTAATGAATAAACATTCCCATGTGAATTGGTCAACACACTACTCATTATCATGGAGCTTAAAGTCCAGATGAAGAGGAAATATTGGTATATAGGGATGGACTCATTGGATAAGAGAGATGATTAAGTGCTGTAATATTTGATTCCTATAATTGTTTAGTTGATGATATAATGCAGAAAATTCAGTAAAAGGGAGATACTAGCATGGGCTGTGATGATCAAGGTGAGATTTATTAAGAATATCATAGTGACGGGCTGGCGCCGCGGCTCAATAGGCTAATCCTCCACCTAGTGGCGGCGGCACCCCAGGTTCTAGTCCCAGTCGGGGTGCCGGATTCTGTCCCGGTTGCCCCTCTTCCAGGCCAGCTCTCTGCTGTGGCCCAGAAGTGCAGTGGAGGATGGCCCAAGTGCTTGGGCCCTGCACCCCATGGGAGACCAGGATAAGCACCTGGCTCCTGCCTTCGGATCAGCGCGGTGCGCTGGCCGCAGTGTGCTGGACGCAGTGGCCATTGGAGGGTGAACCAACGGCAAAGGAAGACCTTTCTCTCTGTCTCTCTCTCTCTCTAACTGTCCACTCTGCCTGTAAAAAAAAAAAAGAATATCATAGTGAGAAAAATCCAGAATTCTATCTCTGGATGTGATTTATTCAGAAATGTGACTCAGAAAGGGGCATGGGTAAGGTGGGGAGGGCAAGTGCTGGATTTATTGCTAATGAGTTTCTTGGGGACCCAGGGATCCCAGGGGTCAGAGCACTATAGAAGAGAGGGGTCACAGGCAAAGGCAGGGACTCCAGCTGGAAATGCATGGCATGGAAGTAGAAGACAGCGAGCAGGCCCTGAAGCCACATTAAGACTCGTGGGGTGAGCTGGCAGGGAGTTCCAAGGCAGGTACTGTAACATCGCCTCCCACTGATGCCGCTGTTCTACAGTGTGGTTCTCACAGCGTGGTTTAGAGATCATCATCTTTCTTGTTTCCCACTCTCAACAGAAACTCTCACCTCCAAATGTGATTGGGGATTAACAGAGCTGCTACCTGGGACTAATATACTGGATGTCTGTGGAGTACTTTATCCTTTGTCAATCATTCTAAGCCCCCCACCACCACCCCCATTTTGCAAGGTGTGTAAGGTTCACTGGAGGTAGAGTATAAGGTTAGAAAAGTTCAGTTATTTGCCAGGGTCACAGGTCAATGTGATGGAATCCGACTCCTCTGGCTCCTAATTATTTTTTCTTGGGGGCTAGGTAAATAGAATGTCAGAGACCATCCTGAGAGCCCCTCCATGTGGCTGGCTTTCTTCATCCTCCACTGAGCTCTGCTGATGTTACTAGCTTTACGTAGTGATTGATAAAACCCATAACTTGGAAGGGAATCTCTGGTATTTGGGCTGCCACCTATCCTTTGTGAGTCAGGGAATTCCACAGTGCTCTTCTGCACCTCTTTCCAAGCACCAGGGTATGGGGTTCACTGGGTGAAAGTGGGGTTTAAGGAAAAACATTGCATCCATGCCACAAAACTAAACAATGACAGTAGCAAGACTCACAAATGCCACCATAGCATGTCACACCATCTGGAAAATATTTACATGGAGTGTTTAATTTTCTCCTTTCTGTAGCATTATGTATTAGGTGTTTTTGTATTTCCATTAGGCCAATGGAAGAATTTAGGCAAAGAGAGGTTAAGTTCCTTGGCCAATGTCATGAATCATGTAGGTGTGGAGCAAGGTGATCCCAGGACACTGGCTGCAGGGACCACACACTTAAGTGCTGTGTACGCTGTCCTAGAGATTTCCCAATCTCAGCTATCGCCTGTGACACAAGCAGGAGCTCTCTCTCAGTCCCACTTCCTACTCTCCTGGGTATCAAGTTAGTCACAGTGTAATTGGATTCAGTGTTTTAGGAGAGTTCACTATTTGTCGATGATGAAAGAACTCCTGCCTTCAAATCCTTAGCAACTCAGACCTTCCTGTTGCTCTGCAGCTTGAGCAGCCCCTGTAGGTCTAGGAGAACCTCAGGCAGAGCCTTGCAGGAAACATGGGTTTGGATCAGTCTGGGCTGGTCATCTCCTTGCCCATGTCCACTGAGACAGGAGGCTGAAGGAGTTTGGTAGGGCAGGGGGACAAATAAATATGTGGGCTTTACTTTGGGGAGGAATTCTTGGGGGCAGATTGGCAAGGAAGCATGTGGCCGACCGCTGTGTCTAAACCTCTTCCAAGAAATAGGTTTCAAAGTAGGAGAGCATGTGTGACTGTGAATCCCCCGTTCAAATCCACTTTGATTTAGAAATAATGCTTGTGTGCTGGTGTGTCTCATTCAGGGTCATAAACAAAGTAAAGCAGATGGTGTCTGGCTGCCCATGCTCTGCTCTGAATGAAGCTGTTCAGTGTATGAGAGCAGCCTTTGGCCTTGCCTGCAGTCACCCAGGCTTGCTGGCAGAGGCTTGATCAGAGGTCTGCGACGAGCGACCCACTGCCGAGTTCTGAGGACCTGCAGCTCTTAGAACAGTTGAACCAGCTTTGCTTGGAGCAGTGTGGGTAATGCCTGGTGTTCTGGTTAACAGGAAATAAAAGGAGAGCAAAGTTCTCTGATGAGATTAAGCCTCTAGGCGTCCTGCGATTTCCATTTCATTGTAACCCAGAGAATTAAAAAGTGCTCTCATGCAGAGAAGGGACAAGGGCCAGCCTTGGCAGATGCCTAGGGAAGTAGCCTTTTGCTTCATTCTGAGCTCTGATCAGGTGTTGGTAGTGATTTTTAAGCATCCCTTTTGCCTGTGATGATGTAACTTTAAATTCTTAAAGTAAGCATATGAAGGTGATTTCAGATGTGAAAAGGAGGGATTACTAGTGATGTAGACTTGGCTTTTATAGGTGAAATTAGTGTATGGCTATTTTTGTGTTGTAAATTTTTCTTCTTCATATTAGTTAGCTTTTAAAATTGAATTTTAGGTTCTGGAAATCATTATACAGAGCCAGGGAGTTATTCGTTCCTTGGAAATTTGAAAAAGAACGTTTCCTCACCCAATTATAATTTACACATAGAATATAAATCTCTTTTTTAAAAGTTTTATTCATTTGAAAAGCAGAGAGAGAGAGAGAGAAAAGAAGAGCGACAGAGAGACAGAGAGATGCTCCAACCACTGGCTTATTCCCCAAATGCCCACAAAGGCCAGGGATGGGCCAGGCTGGAGCCAGGAGCCCTAGAACTCAGTCTGGGTTCCGGGCCCCAAGTGTTTGAGCCATCACTAGTTGCATCTCATGAAGCACATGAGCAGGAAGCTGGGTCAGAAAGCGGAGTGGTAACTCAAGCCCATTTGCTCCAATATGGATTGCAGGTGTCCCATGCTGCATCTTAACCACTACACCAAATGCCTGCCCCTAGAATACAAATCTTAAGGAACAACTCACTGAATTTGACACCTGTGTACCCATTGCAGAGGTTATGATGTAGAGCATTTATATTACCCCCAAAATTTCCCTCATGCCTCCCTATCAGTACCTGCCTCCATCCACTACTTGGTCACTATGGGTTAGATTTGACAGCTCATGAATTTCAAATAAATGGAATCATATAATTTTTTTTGAGTCTGGGTTATTTTACTCAACCCAGTATCTTCAAAGATTTCTCCATTTTTTTTAATGCTTCCTGAATAACAGGAAAACTCTGAAGTTAAGCTGTCTGGACTTACGTGGCAGATCTGTTGGTGGGTAATTCTGAGACCTTAAATGTGTTACTTAATTGGTGCAAATACCTAGTTCTTTGTCTAAAAAATAAAGATAATTGTATCCATCTCATAATGTTGCTATAAAGAGTAAGTCAGTTAATGCATCTGAAGCTTTTCTGCCCCATTGTTTAGCAAGAATAAGCACCTGCAAATGTTGTCATGGTCTCATTATCAGTACTGTCACTTGAATCACCACCATCTTCATTCCTGAGTGCTGCGAATGCTGACTGGTTTTCTGATGGGCTTATTATCTGCATCCCTAAGCTAGAAGTGTTTTCTAGCACTACTTTCTATCTACTTTCAGACCATGTGATCTGACCTTACTCATACAAAGGTAATAGAAAGTTCTTATATATCCTGGAATATCATTGACTATGACCCACAAGTTGATGTGCTTTTGTAGTTTTTCTTTATGGAAATTTTTATTTATATACCTGGAATAGGACAAATTAAGTACTTAAATAAACTCTTATGAGTATTTAAAAATACATTTCTGAAAGTTTTGAAATGTGCATATCTGTGTGCATGTGTATGTATGTTTGTGTACATTCATATCTTCATACAAATTATTCTTAATTTTGATAAAGGTTTTTAAAAAACAACATGGAAAGAGGAAACCAAACTGTCACATCAGAGTTCCTCCTCATGGGTTTGCCTATTGAACCAGATCAGCGAGACCTGCTCTACGTCCTGTTTCTGGCCATGTACCTGACCACCATCCTGGGGAACCTCCTCATCATTGTCCTCATTCACCTGGACTCCCATCTCCACACGCCCATGTATTTGTTTCTCAGCAATTTGTCCTTCTCTGACCTCTGCTTCTCCTCTGTGACCATTCCTAAATTGCTGCAGATCATGCAGAGCCAAGTCCCATCCATCTCGTACTCCGGCTGCCTGGCCCAAATGTACTTCTTTCTGCTTTTTGCAGACCTGGAGAGCTTCCTCCTTGTGGCCATGGCCTACGACCGCTATGTGGCCATCTGCTTCCCCCTGCACTATACCAGCATCATGAGCCCCAAGCTCTGCTTCTGCCTGGTGGCGTTGTCCTGGGTGCTGACTGCATTCATCTCTTTGTTGCATACGCTGCTCATGGCCAGGCTGTCTTTCTGTGCAGACAATGTGATCCCCCACTTTTTCTGTGACATGTCAGCTCTGCTAAAGCTGGCCTGCTCTGACATTCAGATAAACGAGATGGTGATATTTATCTTGGGCAGTCTTGTCATTATTGTTCCATTTCTGCTGATCTTCTCATCCTATGTACGCATTGTGTCCTCCATCCTCAAGGTCCCTTCTGCCAGAGGCATCCGCAAGGCCCTCTCCACCTGTGGCTCCCACCTGTCTGTGGTGTCGCTGTTCTATGGGACAATCATTGGCCTCTACTTATGCCCTTCAGCTGACAATTCTACTGTGAAAGAGACCGTGATGGCTGTGATGTACACAGTGGTGACTCCTATGCTGAACCCCTTTATTTATAGTTTGAGGAATCAGGACATAAAGGGAGCCTTGGCAAGGATCTTTTCAAAGAGAACAATTCACTTTTCTCTGGGACAGTGACTCTAAAGAGTCAAGGGTATTTCCAAACATTAGGTCTGTTATCGAAAATAAGTCATGTTCTGAATAGCTTAATGGCACCCAAGCTTGGCACTGCCAATGCAGAACCCGCTGCACCACCAGAGGGAGTTTCACATTGTTTCACCATGAGGGGGTCCACTGTCCTTCTTGAGTTTACCACTGTGACTCAGATGTGATGTAGACCAAGCCACATACCATGGATGCTCCATGATTATTAGTCAAGGTTGAATAAATGCCATTCCAACTTTGGTATTATACTGAAAAATTGTAAAGTAGTTTATAATTCCCTAAATCCAAATTCCCCAGCCACTTTAGCGCTTTGCTTCTGTCAAATATATCCAGTAAGGAATATCTTCCAATTGATTATGTATGTGATCATGATTTCTCTTCTTGCTGGTTCTCAAATTGTCTTTTCTTGGATTGATAATTCACTTCATTAGTGATCATATTCTAAAATTATCTTTATTTTTAATTAACTGTGCCAGTAATTTGTCAGGTAATGATGAATTATTTCTTTGGACATCTGTTTTTAAGTTTGATTTGATTTTATTTTTTAAAGATTCATTTATTTATTTGAAAGGCAGAGAGTTACAGAGAGACAGAAGCAAAGAGAGAGAAGTCTTCTATATGCTGGTTTACTCCCCAAAAGGCCCCAACAGCCAGAGCTGGGCCAGTCTGAAGCCAGGAGCCAAGAGCTTCTTCTGCGTCTCCCATGTGGGTGCAGGGGTCCTAGGACTTTGGCCATCTTCCACTGCTTTCCTAGGCCACAGCCAGATAGGAAGTGGAGCAGCCAGGACTAGAAGCAGAACCCCTGTGGGATGCCAGCACTATAGGCAGCAGCTTTACCGCTATGCCACAGTGCCGGCCCCTGGTTTTATTTTTAATTGACAAATAATAATCGTATATTATAATGGGGTAGAGTGTGATATTTTCATACATATGTGCATTGTGGAATGATCAAATCATGTCCATTTTGGATGTTTCCCTGTTGATTTAAAATTGTACAGTCCAAAAGGGACCATAGAGTTATGTTATACACTGTTTTATTTATAGGCATTAAAGGATGGCCCAGAGGACAGCCTATGGTAACGTAAGGTAGATGATAGATAGGACTAGACTCTATTTATGAATCCCAAGTAGCTGTTCCCTCCCCACACACCCCCTGGGATATTCTTCTGAAATTATTTTATGCTTTCTTTTTATTTATTCTGTTACCAAGCATAATATTAAAGTGCCTTGAAGACAGACGCACTCTTGTCTTTATAATGCCTAGTTGAGTACCTTGCATTTGTTAGATGTAGAACAAATAACTATTGATTTTATTTGAATGCATTTTCATACTTCTTGAAAAGAATTTATGGCTTTAAAAATCTCACTTTTTAAAATAAACCTTCTTAATAACATCAATGTTGACTTTATTTCTTTTTAAAAAAATGTTATTGATTCCTGATGTAATGGATACTCACCAGAAAACACCCAAGCAACAAAGAAATGAATACAGTGTTAGGATCCCCCAATGTTTTCTGCCCTTCTCTTCCATAAGGACAGTTAAAAGTTAGGAAGCACTACTCCAGACATTTTTGTGCACAGACTAACATTCTGCACATAGTAGGGGTAATTTACACAATTCTCTCATTGTTTTCATTTGTGAATTCATCATTTTACATAAGTTAGTGTAACTATTTTAGAAGCTACATAGTGTTTTATTGAGCTGATGCATTTATCATAAGGCGTTTAAATCATCTGCTCAATGGACACTTAGGTCATTTTCAGTTTCTCATTATTTTGAGAAATATTTCAATTTTATATCCTCCGTGTTGAGGTTTTTTTTTTTTTTTTTTTTTTTTTTTTTTTTGGCGGGCTGTCTTGTCCTGGTTTTTTATGGCTACATCCTAGAAATAGGTGTACTAGATCAGAGAATGTGAACCTTTTATTGACATTGCCAAATTGAGAACTGCTGTAGACCCCTTCCAAGAGTAAATGTGAGTGGCTGTTTTTGCCCTGTGTCACCAATACTGGATATTTGGCCTTCAAAATATTTATCATCCTCATATTCAACATATGATCGATTATTGATTCTAAATTAAACTTCTGTCTAGTCAGTGAAGTCAAACATCTCTATGTAGCCACGCTTTCTGTGCATTTCTTCTGCCTTGAGTAGATTTTTTTTCTTATGGGTAGTGTCACTTTGTCTTAACAGGTGATATTTCCCTGTTTTTTTATGTTTTGACTTTGGTAGGGGTGTATTTTTCCTTACTGCAGGTTTTAAATCTTGATGTAGATAAACTGATTTTACTTCAACATATTTATGAAACATTTATATATAATATGTATAATGTATGCGCTAAATATATTATTTTACATGTTTAGGGCTTTTCTATTTCAAATTACGTCACCCCTTACTTTGCTCTAGCTCTTGTCCACCTTCACGCCTTGTGGATCCTCCATCCGAGCCCCCTTCTTAGGGCGCCCTTGACCTCTTTGTTGCGAAGGCTGTAGATGAAAGGGTTCAAGGTAGGGGTGACCACCGCATAGAGTACACTGGCCAGGCGGTCGTAGCGGGCCGAGTAGGCAGACGCAGGCCGGAAATAGACGGAGAGGACTGAGCCAAAGAAAAGCAGTACCACCACCAGGTGGGCCCCGCAGGTGGAGAAGGCGCGGTGCCGGCCCACAGCCGACCTAACCCTGAGCACGGCGATCAGGATGAGCGCATAGGAGAGGGACACGAGGAGCAGCGGGGTCAGCACCACGGCCAGGCCCTCCGAGAAGATGGCAGCCTCCGCGGTGGACGTGTCCGAGGTGGCCAGGCTCAGCATCACGGTCATGTCGCAGAAGAAGTGGCGCACGGGGGCGGTGCGTGGGTAGGCGAGCGCGGAGATGAGTAGCGTGTGGAGCAGGGAGTGCAGGTGCGCCACAGCCCAGGACGCCACCACCAGCGCGGCGCAGCGCCGGGGCGTCACCTGCACACCGTAGTGCAGCGGCCGGCACACTGCCACCGCGCGGTCGTATGACATGGCCGCCAGCAGGTAGCTCTCGGTGATGCCCAGGGCCACAAAGAAGTACATCTGAGAGAAGCAGGCCTGGAAGGACACGGCCTGGCCCGGGTGGAGCAGGCCGGCCAACAGTCGGGGCACCGTGACGGTGGTAAAGCACACGTCCACGAGGCTCAGGTGACCCAAGAAGTAATACATGGGCGAGTGCAGGGTGCCGTCAGACCTCACCAGCACCACCATGCTCAGGTTGCCCAGGGCATTGAGCAGGTAGACACTAAGGAAGAGCAGGAACAAGAGAGGGTGGGCGTCTGCCCCATCCATCAGGCCGAGGAGGACAAACTCTGGGGCGGATGTGAGGTTGGCCAGAGCCATGGAGTGCCTAAAGGCATGCCGATGCCCAGGGGAGGCCTAAGTCCTGGGAATCCCATGATGTTCCATAAGTGAGAATCTGTAGATAGAGAGATGGTTGATTGACAGATGATAGGTAGCTAAATAGTACAGATAGGACAGATGATAGATACAGATGGTAGATGGACTGATGAAGACATGTACATATATAGAATTTGATTCCTGTGGTTTAAATGGGTTGAAAATCACACTGCTGGTCCAATAATCCGAATCTTGTGAAGAAACTAGTTTGCAGATGGATGTTCTAGGAAGTGGGCAAGTCTCAAGCTTTGGAGTAGATCAGACCTGATGATGAGTCCTGGCTCTGCCACTGGCAGAGGAGTGGCCTCTCGGAGCCTGGTATCTCCTTCTTTAGTGAGCAAATACTCGCAGTTAACCCTGGAGCTGGTTGTGGGATGAAGTGGGTGAGAAGCCTCAAAACTATCTATCTTTTATCTATCAATCATCTCTCATCTACCTCTATATCCATCCATTCATCATCTGCCTACCCATCACCATCATCCTATTTATTTTGCTTAAACAATGAGTTAGGTCAGAGTTATTGCCCAGGCTGTCTTAATACCAGTCTGAATTTCTTCACAAAACACTTGGCGGCCGGCGCTGCGGCTCACTAGACTAATCTTCTGCCTTGCGGCACCGGCACACCGGGTTCTAGTCCCGGTCGGGGCACCGGATTCTGTCCCGGTTGCCCCTCTTCCAGGCCAGCTCTCTGCTGTGACCAGGGAGTACAGTGGAGGATGGCTCAAGTGCTTGGGCCCTGCACCCCATGGGAGACCAGGAGAAGCACCTGGCTCCTGCCATCGGATCAGTGCGGTGTGCCGGCCGCAGCGTGCCGGCCGCGGCAGCCATTGGAGGGTGAACCAATGGCAGAGGAAGACCTTTCTCTCTGTCTCTCTCTCTCACTGTCCACTCTGCCTGTCAAAAAAAAAAAACAAACAACAACAACAAAAAAACACTTGGCTGCATTTCCCACTTGTTTCCTCACTATATTTTATGTTCTGATTCAGGAATGGACAAATCTTTGCTGGAGATGATCATATGATAATTAGGCTGGAGGGCCCCATAGTCCCAGTGGCAACTCTTTAACTCTGCCATTGTAGTCCAAAGAAGCCATTGACAGTAATGTACATGAGTGGCTATGACTGTGCTCCAGTAAAACTTTATTTACAAACCAGGAGATGGACTGTATTTGGCCCAGGGGACATGGTTTGCTGACTGCTGTACTAGACACTGTGGGAGACAAGATCTTAGTTTCTGTCCTCAGTTTGACCTGGAGCGGCTTGCAGTGTTTGTTTAGTACTTTCCTAATTCTGTGAACCAAGTGAGAGTAAATTATTCTTCCTGGGAAGAATTCAAAGTGGTGGGACTTGAAGTGAGTCTTGAGAACGGATGGGGGTCACTCAGCAGACATGACATTGTGTGGAAGTGTGAGGACGTCCTGATGGGGGAAGAGACTGAGGATGGTTGTTGGCCAGGGAGGCATAAGGGAAGAAGGTAAAACATCTACTATGGATGCTGGGACAGGCTTGGCCCTGCTCTCACCTCGGTGCACAAAATCAGTTTCCCAGAGACTTCTACATTTCTCAGCCAAGTGACTTCAGTCATCTCAGAAACATGCACTCACGCTGTTCTCCATTCAATCTCTTCCTTAAAACTCCACGGAGGTTTCTCCCATTGCTCCAAAGTTTCTAGAAATACTCTACTGCCAACCTAGCCTGCCTGCCCTTTGCCGGTAAGGAGAATCTCTCTTTGGTGAGATCCCAGAGATGGACTGGGTCAGCTCTTAGCAGGGGAACTGTTCCCAGGAGGGAGGCTTGTCCAGGAATCTCAGTACAAAGTTTATCAAATAAATATTTGCTGAATGAAGCTTTGTGAAGAGCAGTGAGAGAAAGCAGAGGTGAAGGGAGGTTGAAGAAGAGAGTTATCAAGCAAACTCCAGCGATCACACCTACAAATGTTTTGCTTTTCTGTCACTGTCACCATTAGCAATCCCAGGGACACCATCGGATAAGCTTCTGCCAAGCCCACCCATTGCCCCCTTCCCCATTGTAAGAGGAACAGTATCGAAGAGCCAGGGCCTTGGCACCCTGTGCGCATCCGTCTTCCCAGAGCAGAGTTCCTCTCTGAGGGCCCCTGACCTTCGCTCCCCACCCTCCCCTGCAGCAGAAAGAGCCCTGGCCTTGGGTCAGAACTCCCTGTGCTTACTCCTCATTTGCTCTGTACCTGTGGCCCCACCTTCATCTCCTCCTCTACAAAATGGCGGTGTTCATCCCTCTCTTACATGCTGGAGGTCGGGATTTAATGAGGTGCTGTGTAAGTGTGCAGCCGAGAATAAACGTTGGGAGACATCATCTGGTGGACTCTGCTCTCTAGTGGCTTCTTGACACAGTCTGGCCCAGTACTGGAGGCTGCCGCTGTCTGTTTCTCGTCATCTCAGCTGAAACCTGAGTTCCTGTAACTTCAGGTGGTCTCGGGTTTGGCTCTGGGGGGCTACAAATGCCAAGTCTGCCTTCTCTGCAGACTTTTAAAAACGGTCCAAGGAATCTATTCTAGGGTGACTGACTCTTCTTTTGTTCAAGCCAAACATTGTTGGGTCTTAGATGTTTTCTTATAGGACCCAATTTCCAGGCCCCTTCCCATTCTGCTCACCCTTTGTCTTGTCAGTGTTTTCGTAACAGGAATTGGGCAGGGTTTTAGCTGGCACTGGGCTCTGTGAAGTTCCCTGGGGAAGTTTAAAGTCCAGCCATGCGACCCTTGCCTGTCTGTTGAATGCCCGCGCCAGGTCAGGTGTTGTGTAAGGTTCTGGGGCTGTGGTTAGCCATTGTCCTGGACCTCCAGTCATCCACAGTGCCATAGCTCCATACTAAGAGTAGGGGCAGAAATGCAGTGATTTTCTCTGCTGGCTGATTTGGGGAGGATTTCAAAGAGGTGAGGTGTGAAGTGCGTTTGGAAGAACAAGAAGATCAGCAGATGCTTGGGATGGGAAAGGCATTTTGGCAGGAAAAGAGCATGTGGGGGCATCAGAAGATGCTCTGTGGGCCGGTGAGAACTAAACTGTGGCCTCTTCCTCCCTATTTTGTGCAGAGTGGATGGAGTTGGTGTGGGAAGGATGACAGGATACAAGGCAAGAAGACAGCAGAGAAAGGCTGGGCTGTCTCACCTGAAGGGCAGCAGGCCAGACTTGAACTCTGTCTGCAGAGACGTGGGCTGGCTGGCCTCCCCTCTGGCCAGGGGTCCCCAGTCTTGAGGGCAGGTGCGTTGTCAGCCACCTCAGCCTGAGACTTCAGCTTGTGTCCTATGGGCTAGAACAGGAGAGCTAGAGAGAGAGAAGGCCGGGGCAGGGGGAGGGGAGTCCCTGAGCCACACTCCTCCACTCAGCTCTACTACACTTTGCTGTCCATTGGATACACTGCAGACCACACAGCCTGTCCTTCAAAGCTTTCCAACGTGGCTCTCAACATGCCTCCCCTTCCCTGGCCCCAGCCCGGGTGGCCTCGTCACTGCCTCTTTCTCACACCTTTCCCACATGGCTGCCCCCCACCTTCCTCCCTGAACTGCTTTTCCTTTGCTACCCCAGTCCCTAGTCTGGACCCACTTCCTTTAAGAAGCCACTTCTCTTTTCATATGCCTCTCTCCTCAGCCTCTTGTAACTCTCACTTGTCCTTGGCCTTCACCTGCTGGCATCCGAGTGACTTTTTCTGATGCTCAGTTCCCCATCAGGTGGTGAGCCGTCTGAGGGTAGATATTTAATTGTATGTTACCATCTGACTCCCAGCAGTCAGGGAAGGCTCCATAGAGGAGGTGGCATTTGAGCAGGACCAGCTTGAAGGCATTCACTAGACAGAGTGGAAGGGAATACTAGAAAAAGGGAACAGCATGTATAAAGAAAGTGATAGGGAAACCTCACGGGAGTTAATGAGTTGCATTCCCCGCCCCACATAAGTGGACCATTCTCATAGTTTGCATGTATGTGTGTGTGAGAGAGTTCATGCAATTCTTCAGAAACTTAATGGAACTGCATTATTATGTAAAAACTATACATGAATTTAAAAAATTTTTGCACCAAAATAAGCTTACTTTTAATTCCTTTCTCCCACAAACTCTTTGAAACACCTCTGTCCCCTTATCCTATATATATAAGCAAGCACTTGGTAAATCATAGTGCTTAACAGATGTCTGTTACCCCCCCTCCTCCAGGCTTCTGGGACTTCCAGTGATCGGGAGGTACGTTGGCTGTTTACACTGACTCCACTTGAAACTCCTGGCGTCAGACCAAAGGCCTCGGCTGCTCAACTGTTGTAATGCCGAACCCTTTCCTGAGGCCCACGTGTGCCAGCTGCCTGCTTCAGAACGGGCAGCAAGGACTAATCTAAGGTGGCAAACTAGAACAGGGGAATCTAAGACCAGGAACTCTGCCACCCAAGAAGCTCACTGCCCTAAACCCCATGCAGAAAGGGGCATCTTTACAGCAAACACCCAGATGCCCCAAGACACAGAAGTCCACAGGGCCAGGGCCACACACAGAGACATCCTGACACATGGACTGTCCCCTCCAGGACAGACACAGACACACACAGACACAGTGGTGGATTCTGCAGGACACACTGAGACCCCGTGTAGGTCTGCATATAGACACTGCACACTGACTCCCTCGTCACTCCCTCCCCCACCCCGTGTCAGGTCAGTCCACCTTCACAGAGTTGGGCCACACTAAACACGGGAAACCTGCACTCTCTGTCCTGAGGCTCCTCTCCAAGTCCTTCAGCAGCCAGTCTCTTCCCAGCCAGCCCACATGCTTCTCTCAACAGTGTTCCAAATAGCATTCTCTTCACCTACAGACTTAACCCAAGTTGAGCCCCTGCTGCTCCAAGCACCTCCCCTCCTCTACTTCCCTGTGCCAACTTCTCACTTATTCTCCTCTAGTAGTTTATTCAACAACAAAATAAATAGTGGTGTCGACTCCTTGCCAGGAATTTGGACACCAGGCAAGGAGAGCGTTCAGCGATAAAGACACAAAGAGCAGTGCTTCTTAGACGTCACCTTACCCAACACTCAGGCCACAGGCTGTGGAGGCAATGTGCAGAGAACTTGGCACCTGAAATGATCCAGCGATCGGGATAAGCCAGGATCCCACTCGGTGCTCTGAATCCCACCCGTGGTCCAGCCCACTGCCCCACGCTGTCTGCCCTGGGTTGGCAGGTCCTGCCCATTTATTGTGTCCTCAGCCACTTGCTTTAGCCACCCTGCCTTTCTACCACTGATTATTCCGCTCCCTGCCAGCAAGTCCCCTGCCTGACAACTCACCTGTGAGCACGCCCTGCTCTGCCCTCCCGAGCCCATACCCATAGGCCGCGCTGCAGGGGGCAGCTGGGGCAGGTATGCCCTGGAGGAAAAGACTTCCCTCAGCAGTCGGAAGTGGGAGGAGAGGCCTGCAGGCTGGGGGCAGAGGGAGGTCACCCACTCATTATTTAACTGGAAACCCCATAGAGAACTAAGGTGGCCTCTGCAAACCCTGGCCCC